CAAAGTGGTAGGCCATACAAGCTCACAGAACGGGACCGCCGAGTGCTGAAGCGTATAGCATGTAAAAATCGTCTGTCCTCAGTTGTAACACTCCATACCGATTTCCAAACTGCCTCTGGAAACAACGTCAGCACAAGAACTGTTCGTCAGGAGATTCATGAAATGGATTTCCATGGCCGAGCAGCCGCACACAAGCCTAAGATTGTGCAATGCCAAGCGTTGGCTGGAGTGGTGTAAAGCTCGCCACCATTGGACTCAGTAGCAGTGGAAACGCGTTCTCTGGAGTGATGAATCACGCTTCAAATAAAATCAAATGTATTCAAATCAAATCAAAATTCACCATCTGGCAGTCCAACGGACAAATCTGGGTTTGGCGGATGCCAGTAGAACGCTACCAGTGCCAACTGTAAAGTTTGGTGGAGGAGGAATAATGGTCTGGGGCTCTTTTTCATGGTTCGGGCTAGGCCCCTTAGTTCCAGTGAAGGGAAATCTTAATGCTACAGCATACAATTACATTCTAGATGATTCTGTGCTTCCAACTTTGTGGCAACAGTTTGGGGAAGGCCCTTTCCTGTTTCAGCATGACAATGCCCCCGTGTACAAAGCGAGGTCCATACAGAAATAGTTTGTCGGTGTGGAAGAACTTGACTTGCCTGCACAGAGCCCTGACCTCAACCCCATCAAACACCTTTGGGATGAATTGGAACGCCGACTGCGAGCCAGGCCTAATCGCCCAACATCAGTGCCCGACCTCACTAATGCTCTTGTGGCTGAATGGAAGCAAGTCCCTGCGGCAATGTTCCAACATCTACTGGAAAGCCTTCCCAGAAGAGTGGAGGCTGTTATATTAGCAAAGGGGGGACCAACTCCATATTAATGCCCATGATTTTGGAATGAAATGTTCGATGAGCAGGTGTCCACATAAACTACATGGCCAAAAGTATGTTTTATATATATTTCCACACTATGAGGTTGAAGTAATATTGTGAAATTGTGAAAATTATGATAATGCCCTTTTAGTGTAAGAGCTGTTTGAAAAGACCGCCTGAAATTTCAGCCAGTTTTGGTGGGATGGAGTTTTGGAATGCCTGTTGACATTAGTACATTTGAAAGAGAGATCCAAACCTCTCTGCCAATAACAGCTAGTTTTCAGTTTTCCCCTCCCCACTCAGACCACTCCCAGACAGTCCTAGCAAAATTCTTGCTTGAGAAATTGTTCTTTGCTAAGAAGCTATTTTAGGTTTTTTTTCACAGTAAGGTACTTAATTGTTATATCAGAAATTATTTGATATTGAGATAAAAACGGCTGCATTGCTGTGTATCTCTACACCTGTTGACTGGGTAATAATGGTGCTGTAAATCAGCCATTGTGTCAGAGTGACTCACTCATAGAGCCTGCGGCACACCACCCATGCCATTCTCTGATGCTCTGTGTGGACTCCCTCCTGCATAGGCAAATATAGACTAGACATATTTTCCAAAGTTATAAATATATACAGTAATATATTATACAATAGACACAGGGTAAGGTCAAACTAGGTTTTCCTATTCAGAGAGCAATTACATGTTTTCCATAAGAACTGAACTCAATCACATTATCATCTCATCTTCGATGACAATCATTTCATTCACTAAGACTTTCAGTCTTGAAGGACAATGAATATAGTCCATTCATTCATTCAACTGCTGCTCCTATGACCTAGTAATTTCAGTAAAACCCGCGACCATCGATATGTGTATAGCTGACGTAGCCACAAGTAGGCGACAAATCACCCTGTTACTATCCTGGCCATGGTCCAGATACATAACAAGCTGTTGCACAATCCTGATTACCACATGATTGGTGGAACGCAAACTTGAGAACAGCTTGTTGTCTTATAGGGTTTAGGGTTCCACCTACTGTTCATCTGATATTTAATGACCACATTATATATTCATAATGCACTATAAAACCATTCAAAATACAGGTAACTGCCAAAATAAAGGAAACACCAACAAAAAGTGTCTTAATAGGTCGTTGTGCCACCACTATCCAGAACAGCATCAATGCACCTTGGCATAGATTCTACAAGTGTCTGGAACTCTATTGGAAAGATCCGACACAATTCATCCTCAAGAAATTTGGTGTTTTGTTGATGGTGGTGGAAAAAACTGTCTCAGGCGCCACTCCAGAATCTCCCATAAGTGTTCAATTGGTTTGAGATCTGGTGACTGAGATGGCCATGGCATATGGTTTACATCGTTTTCATGCTCATCAAACCATTCAGGGTCCACTCGTGAATTGGGGCATTGTCATCCTATGGGGGCATAGCCATGGTAGCCAAAATAATGGCCTGCCCAGCATTTTTATACAGGAAGCATGATGTGACGTTAACTGCTTAATTAACTCAGGAACCACACCTGTGTGGAAGCATCTGCTTTCAATATACTTTGTATCCCTCATTTACTCACGTGTTTCCTTTATTTTGGCAGTTACCTGAAGGTTGTTTTGGTTTTCTTATTCGTGTATTAGAGTAGCCTATTAGAGTTCCTTGAAAAGAGTTAGAATTTTCAGAAAATAAACTGGCACACCCTGATGTTCTCTTTACTTGAGTAGAAATGCTGCTCCACTATTTACTGGATTTGGCTGCAACACACACCACCCCAAGAGCTTTGGATTTAAAACACACACACGTCTGCATGGACGCACATGCTCGAACGTGCACACACACGTGCGCTCACACACACACACACTCATGTAGGCACGCACGGACGCACGCACGCAGACACACACACATACCTCACACATACACACACACACTCAGCAGCACATATGGGAGGCAGATGTGATGTATGAAGCTGGGGTCACAGAGTCCACAGTACCAGCGCTGGATAATTGCCTACCCTGACATAGACATTTCTCAGTGCTCCGTAAAATCTATTCATCCTGATATTGGCAAATCCAGGAAATTTCCTGTGGAATGGAAACCATGTTCTACTCTAAAATATCTAATACATTCTATTACATTCGCATCTACCTCAACAACACAGGATATTACATGGGAAGGAGTCGGACCTTTATGAGATGGACAACGGTCTTCTTCTTTTCCCTTTGATCATGACTGACTAGAAACTTTAGCAACACCTAATAATAAACCAGTAAAAAAACATTATTACTAGTTACTAGTTATAAGCATGTATTTCTAGATAGCAATATATCAACAACAGCCTCAAAATGTCTGATACTGTCTCAGAATCATTACTGGGTGATAGTAGTAAGCCATCAAAAGGATGTCCATGTTCAAATCAAATCAAATCATATTTTATTTGTCACATTCGCCGAATACAACAGGCGTAGACCTTAAAACAAGGGGGGGGGGGGGGGGGGGGGGGGGGGGGGGTGTTGTCACTGTAAATAGTCCAGGTGGCTATTTGATTAGTTGTTCAGCAGTCTTATGGCTTGAGGGTAGAAGCTGTTAAGGAGCATTTTGGACCTAGACTCAACGCTCCGGTACCGCTTGCCGTGCGGTAACAGAGAGAACAGTCTATGACTTGGGTGACTGGAGTCTTTGACAATTTTTGGGGCCTTCTTCTGAAACCGCCTAGTATATAGGTCCTGGATGGCAGGAAGCTTGGCCCAAGTGATATACTGGGCCGTACGCACTACCCTCTGTAGCGCCTTACGGTCGGATGCCAAGCAGTTGCCATACCAGGCGGTGATGCAACCGGTCAGGATGCTCTCGATGGACCTGTTTAAAGGTCTTGCTCACATCGGCTACGGAAAGCGTGATCACACAGTCGTCCGGAACAGCTGGTGCTCTCATGCATGCTTCAGTGTTGCTTGCCTCGAAGCGAGCATAAAAGGCATTTAGCTCGTCTGGTAGGCTCGCGTCACTGGGCAGCTCGCTGCTGGGTTTCCCTTTGTAGTCCTTAATAGTTTGCAAGCCCTGCCGCATCTGACAAGTGTCAGAGCCGGTGTTGTAGGATTCAATCTTAGTCCTGTATTGACGCTTTGCCTGTTTGATGGTTCGTCTGAGGGCATCGCAGGATTTCTTATAAGCGTCCGGATTAGTGTCCCGCTCCTTGAAAGCAGCAGCTCTAGCCTTTAGCTCGGTGCGGATATTGCCTGTAATCCATGGCTTCATGTTGGGATATGTACGTACGGTCACTGTGGGGACAACGCCATTGATGCACTTATTGATGAAGCCGGTGACTGAGGTGGTATACTCCTCAATGCCATTTGATGAATCCAGGAACATATTCCAGTCTGTGCTAGCAAAATAGTCCTGTAGCGTAGCATCCGCGTCATCTTACCACTCCCGTATTGAGTGAGTCACTGGTACTTCCTGCTTTAGTTTTTGCTTGTAAGCAGGAATCAGGAGGATAGAATTATGGTCAGATTTGCCAAATGGAGGGCGAGGGAGAGCTTTGTATGCATCTCTGTGTGTGGAGTAAAGGTGGTCTAGAGTTTTTTTTCCTCTGGTTGCTCATGTGACATGCTGGTAGAAATGAGGTAAAACTGATTTAAATTTGCCTGCATTAAAGTACCCGGCCACTAGGAGCACCGCTTCTGGATGAGCATTTTCTTATTTGCTTATGGCCATATACAGCTTGTTGAGTGCGGTCTAGTGCCAGCATCGGTTTGTGGTGGTAAATAGACGGCTACGAAAAATATAGATGAAAACTCTCTTGGTAGATAGTGTGGTCTACAGCTTATCGTGAGGTACTCTACCTCAGGCGAGCAATACCTTGAGACTTCCTTAATATTAGACATTGCGCACCAGCTGTTATTGACAAAATTATTAAGTGCTTCATACATTATGCCCCTATCGCAATGATTTGTAGCTGTGGGCTTGAAGTAGTGTTTTCTATCCCGTTCTGGATGTTTCTAGTCCAGCAGATGATAGATAGTCATCAGGAGAAATGCTGAGGAGAGCTGATTGAGGGATGGATGAATGGGGGGAGGGGAGGAGGAAGGGGAGTGGAGGAGGGATTCTTAATCTCATTATCCCTTTCCTAATCATCGAGGAGTAATGTGTGTCCATACCTCTCTATGCCTCACACCTGCTATAGGCTACCCTAGCAGAAACGCATACATACATCCACACATCATATACACACACCTATTTATTTACTGTACACATAGACAGACAGACATATAGAAAGATGTCTTCAGATATGGACGGGACCATGCTCCTGGGGGTGGAAGGCATCAAGAAAACCATCCTGTATGGAGGGACAGCTGAGATGCCCCGGTTCATTACTGGGACCAAGGTAGGCCTCAATATCTCCATCTCAACCGATTCCTTTGATTCAACCTCTCTATCTCTATCCAAATTTATCGATTTCAATCTCTCTATCTACTTCATTTATAATCCTCAGTCTTTCTCTCTATCTGAATCTCTCCATCGAAATCGATCTATTTAAACATAACTCCATCTATCGACTTTTCTATCCTCTATCTATCTCAAATAGTGGAGGTTTTCTCCAGCTCACAGACAGTTACTCATCAAGTGATTTGTCTCCAATTCCAGACAAATCTGATTACTGTAAAGAAGATGGTTGCAATAGATTCTAGAACATTGTCTAGATTCTGAAAATAAAAATAATGTCTCACTCACATCAGGCAAATCAAATTGTCTTACTTATGGAGTCATATGACACTATTCATTCCATTAGTAATGCCATGGTACAAGATCTTATAATGTTGCATCCTGCCTGTCAACAGGGACCACATACCCACAACAGTATGGTCAGTGTGTAAAGGGTTGGCAACAACAGTATGGTCAGTGTGTAAAGGGGTGGCAACAACAGTATGGTCAGTGTGTAAAGGGTTGGCAACAACAGTATGGTCAGTGTGTAAAGGGGTGGCAACAACAGTATGGTCAGTAGGTAAAGGGTTGGCAACAACAATATGGTCAGTATGTAAAGGGGTGGCAACAACAGTATGGTCAGTGTGTAAAGGGTTGGCAACAACAGTATGGTCAGTGAGTGTGTAAAAGGGTGGCATTTGGTGCAACTGGAGAATCTGGAGGAAAATGACTCTCTAAACCCAAATGTCCTCTTCACCACTCCCTCCCTCTCTTCCTTTCTCTCCTCCACCTCTTCCATACTGTACATCCTCCTTCATTATCCCTTTCCCCTTTCATCCCACCCACTCTCCTCCTTCCTCTCTTCTTCACCATTTCCTCCCCTCCCCCCTCCTCCTTCCCTCCTCCACAGGTGACCTTCCATTTCCGTACCCAGCTGTGTGATGATGATCGTACGGTGATAGACGACAGTAAGGTGGTGGGCGTGCCCATGGAGGTGGTGATCGGGAACATGTTCAAGCTGGAGATCTGGGAGACTCTGCTCACCTCCATGAGGATCGGAGAGGTGGCCGAGTTCTGGTGCGATGTCACCGTGAGTAGGACTCGTTCTCCCACAATGCAGTGCCACAGTAGCATATTTCCTGTTCATACATTAGAGTCCAGATTCTAAATACAACTCCAACACCGCTCCAGAAGTCAACTGACCCTCTCAATTAAAAAAGGTCTGTCCTAAGTGAACTTTAAGAAAAATCTAACAATTCCTAATGATTTTTCCTAGGGAGACATTTAATTAAAGCTAAAGGTATCAATCACATCAGATTAAAAGTCTCTCATGACAGTCGGCCTGCATTTTACAAGGAACTAAAAGAGACACCACCCATTATTACAGTAATGTCAAAAACACAAAAGCTACTTCTATTCAGAGCATACTGAGTAAACACTTAAATATCTCAGTAGCATGAGACACAATACAAACACACTGGAATATCATACACCTAATATCATACAGCTAATACAGGTGCTTTGTTGTCCCATGTGTGTGCATTGCCAGTGTTGTGTGTCATAATGATGATAATTAGAAACAACCTAACCTCAACCAACTATTGAAGAGGATGCAGACGTTTCTGTCAGTTCCCCTTTTTGGTATTTGTCCCTTCTCACAATTCAACACATCTCTAGTAAGCTTTGAAAAGCACACATTTGTTGAAAATGTAGGCCCTACTTTCAGTTGTCTGTGTTATATGTGCTCTTCAACGTATTGTGTCTGCAATTGTAGGCTTTCCAGGGGTTTGGTTATATATTTATATTTGGTAACACTTTATTTTGATAGTCCATCTGTAGATGCTCTACAGACTATCTACAGACTATCAGTAACATTTCAACTAACTATCTACTAACCCTAGCTCTAACCCTGACCTTAGCCCTTACCCTAACCCTACCCTAACTCTTATTCTAAAACTAACCCTGACCCTAACTGTAACCTTAGCAAGCAGTTGCTTATCAACAGATAGTTTGTTGATAGTCTGACCATTTCTAGAGCATCTACAGATGGAAAATCCGAACTATCCAAATAAAGTGTGACCTTACACTGAGTGTACAAAACATTAAGAACACCTTCCTAATATTGAGTTGCACCCCCCCCCCCCCCCCCCCTTATTTTGCCCCCAGTTATTTGTGTCTGCTAGAGTATGGCTGTGTGTGTGTACGTGCATTTGTATGTGTATGTTGGTGGAGGAGACAAACAGATGGAGAGCTTAGAGAGTGTGATTAATCCACAGCAGCTTCACCTTTCCCTAATCGCCTGTGATTACTGCTGACCATGAAGACAACCTGGGACGGGCTTTAAACCAGCTGGGGCACAGCCATTCATTCATTATCTAGTAACTACAACCTGGGTGCTTTATACAGTAGGCTACATTCTATCTATACAGTAGGTTACATTCTGTGACCCTACTAGCAAATATTTTTTTATAAGTAAACCAAGATAGACCACTGCCAGTCGTTTCAAATGGGAACAAATGAGTCGTAGTGGGCAGAACAAGCAAGGAGGTGGGCATAGCCAAGCACGAGCTAGCGAGATCCTATTGGCGCGTTCTAGCACTACATTTGCATGTGTCCGTTAGGGAACGCCTACTCTGTGAAGTGCGCGTGTGCAATAACTAAATTCGCCTTTGCACTCCTTCTAAACAACAAACTTTGGCAAAGGGTAAAGTCTACAAAACTCTGTTCGTAACAAATTTTAGTTTTGGGAATAGAAAACTGCATTGAGATCAAATGTTTTATCGATGAGAAAATTAGCAGATTGTCGGCCAAAATCCGTCTCGTTCCATCTTCTCCCACTGCCGGCCACTGGGCTTCCTCTCACTACCATATTTGGTAGTGAATGGAAACGCCAAGCTGATGCTTCACATTTATACATCCAGTGAAATATCTGTCTCATTGTTCTATCTGTGCTACTAGTGTTGAGGGTAAAATGAAGTGTTTACTCATTCCAACCAGCAGAGGGCGATATTGTTACGTTGGCTACATAGTTCAGTTGAGGAGGAGAATAGACTCGGTTTCACAAATATTTGTGTATTAGCATATACAAAAATATGTATCCAGGGTCCTTTCTGGTTTGATTGACAGACTAATTATGACAGACAAAGAGCAATGTCTTACTTCACCCATTCCAATCCAATCAAATCAGTGAAAAAGGGGGAAAGCCTGTTTCAGGAAAAGACAAATTCAATGACATGTCTTATATCATATAGCTCTGGTTAACTTTGCTTGCCCTGTCTCTCTGTCTCTGTCTCTGTCTCTCTTTCTCTCCCCAGCACACTGGCCTCTACCCCCTGGTGGCCAAGAGCCTGCGGCGCATCGCGGAGGGCAAGGACCCTGTGGACTGGCACATCCATTCGTGTGGCATGGCCAACATGTTTGCCTACCACACCCTGGGCTATGATGACCTGGACCAGCTACAGAAGGAGCCTCAGCCTCTCTACTTTGTACTGGAACTGGTCAAGGTTAGAGGAAAACACTGGAATGGAGTCACACAGAAACACACACAAATATTGCGCACACAAAGAAACACTGATCTTGCTCGTATTCTCTTTGTGTGTGTGTGTTTGTTTTTAAAATCAATGAAAATTTGGACAAGTGGGGACAATTCGCTGGTCCCCAAAAGGAAAAAAGCTATTAAAGGCTTAGTGGTTAGGTTTAGGGTTACAATTAGGGTTAGGGGTTAGGTTTAGGGTTAGGGGTTAGGGGTTAGGGGTTAGGGGTTTGGGGTAAGGGTTAAGGTTAGGTTAGTGTTAGGGTTAGGTTAAGGGTTAGGGTTAGGTTTAGGGGTTAGGGAAAATAGGATTTTGAATAGGAATCAATTGTTTGGTCCCCACAAGGATAGTAAAACAAACGTGTGTGTGTGTGTATGTGTGTGTGTGTACGTGCCTGTGTGTCTGTATATCCCAGGTGCAGCAGCCCAGTGAGTATGACAGGGAGTCATGGGCACTGAATGATGAGGAGAGGCTGAAGGCTGTGCCCTTGCTCCATGGCCAGGGGAACAAGCTCTACAAACTGGGGCGCTACCAGGACGCCGCCAACAAATACAAAGAGGCCATAGTCTGCGTCAAGAACATACAGCACAAGGTATTGTAACAACGGATCAGGAATGGCAGTGTGGAATAATGACCTTGGCTTTAGTTTTTGGAGTTCTTTTAATGTGTTTTGTGAGAGAGTATAATCATATTTTAATCATGACAGCCTCAACGCTTTGTGTGTTTGTGTGCGTGCGTGTGTACATGTACAGTGCATTCGGAAAGTATTCAGACCCCTTTACTTTTTCCACATTTTATTACGTTACAGCCTTATTCTAAAACTGATTAAATGTCCCCTCTGTTCATCATTCCCTCGATCCTGACTAGTCTCCCAGTTCCTGCCGCTGAAAAACATCCCCACAGCATGATGCCGCCACCAACATGCTTCACCGTAGGGATGGTGCCAGGTTTCCTCCAGACGTGACGCTTGGCATTCAGGCCAAAGAGTTCAATCTTGGTTTCATCAGACCAGACAATCTTGTTTCTCATGGTCTGAGAGTCTTTAGGTGCCTTTTGGCAAACTACAAGCGGACTGTCATGTGCCTTTTACTGAGGAGTAGCTTTCGTCTGGCCACTCTACCATACAGGCCTGATTGGTGGAATGCTGCAGAGATGGTTGTCCTTCTGGAAGGTTCTACCATCTCCATAGAGGAACTCTGGAGCTCTGTCAGTGTGACCATCGGGTTCTTGGTCACCTCCCTGACCAAGGCCCTTCTCCCCCGATTGCTCAGTTTGGCCAGGCGGCCAGCTCTAGGAAGAGTCTTGGTGGTTCCAAACTTCTTCCATTTAAAAATGATGGAGGCCACTGTGTTCTTGGGGACCTTCAATGCTGCAGACATTTTTTGGTACCCTTCCCCAGATCTTTGCCTCGACATAATCCTGTCTCGGAGCTCTACGGACAATTCCTTCGACCTCATGGCTTGGTTTTTGCTTTGACATGCACTGTCAACTCTGGGACCTTATATAGACAGGAGTGTGCCCTTCCAAATCATGTCCAATCAATTGAATTTACCACAAGTGGACTCCAATTGAGTTGTAGAAACATCTCAAGGATGATCAATGGAAACAGGATGCACCTGAGCTCAATTTAGAGTCTAATAGCAAAGGGTCTGAATACTTATGTAAATAAGGTATTTCAGTTTTTTTTTTATATATATACATTTGCAAACATTTCTACAAACCTGTTTTCGCTTTGTCATTATGGGGTATTGTGTGTAGATTTATGAGGATAAAAAAAAAAGACACTTTCCGAAGACACTGTACCTGTGTGTCAGTGTGTGTGTGTGTGTGTGTGTGTGTGTGTGTGGTGTGTGTGCATGCATGCATATATGAGCATACAGTGCTTTGCAAAAGTATTCATCCTCCTTGGCGTTTTTCCTATTTTGTTGCATTACAACCTGTAATATAAATGGATTTTTATTTGGATTTCATGTAATGGACATACACAAAATAGTCCAAATTGGTGAAGTGAAATGAAAAAAATAACTTGTTTAAAGAAATGTAAAAAAATAAAATAATGGAAAAGTGGTGCGTATTCACCCCTTTGCTATGAAGCCCCTAAATAAGATCCGGTGCAACCAATTACCGTCAGAAGTCACATAATTAGTTAAATAAAGTCCACCTGTGTGCAATCTAAGTGTCACATGATCTGTCACATGATCTCAGTATATATACACCTGTTCTGAAAGGCTCCAGAGTCTGCAACACCACTAAGCAAGGGGCACCACCAAGCAAGCGGCACCATGAAGACCAAGGAGCTCTCCAAACAGGTCAGGGACAAAGTTGTGGAGAAATACAGATAAGGGTTGGGTTATAAAAAAATATCTGAAACTTTGAACATCCCACAGAGCACCATTAAATCCATAATAAAAAAATGGAAAGAATATGGCACCACAACAAACCTGCCAAGAGAGGGCCGCCCACCAAAACTCACAGACCAGGAAAGGAGGGCATTAATCAGAGAGGCAACAAAGAGACCAAAGATAACCCTGAAGGAGCTGCAAAGCTCCACAGCGGAGATTGGAGTATCTGTCCATAGGACCACTTTAAGCCGTACACTCCATAGAGCTGGGCTTTACGGAAGAGTGGACAAAAAAAAGCCATTGCTTAAAGAAAAAAATAAGCGAACACGTTTGGCGTTCGCCAAAAGCCATGTGGGAGACTCCCCAAACATATGGAAGAAGGTACTCTGGTCAGATGAGACTACAATTGAGCTTTTTGTTCATCAAGGAAAATGCTATGTCTGGCGCAAACCCAACACCTCTCATCACCCCGAGAACACCATCCCCACAGTGAAGCATGGTGGTGGCAGCATCATGCTGTGGGGATGTTTTTCCATCGACAGGGACTGGGAAACTGGTCAGAATTGAAGGAATGATGGATGGTGCTAAATACAGGGAAATTCTTGAGGGAAACCTGTTTCAGTCTTCCAGAGATTTGAGACTGGGACGGAGGTTCACCTTCCAGCAGGACAATGACCCTAAGCATACGGCTAAAGCAACACTCAAGTGGTTTAAGGGGAAATATTTAAATGTCTTGGAATGGCCTAGTCAAAGCCCAGACCTCAATCCAATTGAGAATCTGTGGTATGATTTAAAGATTGCTGTACAACAGCGGAACCCATCCAATTTGAAGGAGCTGGAGCAGTTTTGCCTTGAAGAATTGACAAAAATCCCAGTGGCTAGATGTGCCAAGCTTATAGAGACATACCCCATGAGACTTGCAGCTGTAATTGCTGCAAAGGGTGGATCTTCAAAGTATTGACTTTGGGGGGTGGTGAATAGTTATGCACGCTCAAGTTTGTTTCACAATAAAAAATATTTTGCATCTTCAAAGTGGTAGGCATGTTGTGTAAATCAAATGATACAAACCCCCCAAAAATACATTTTATTCCAGGTTGGAAGGCAACAAAATAGGAAAAATGCCAAGGTGGGTGAATACTTTCGCAAGCCACTGTATTTATCCATGGTGTGTAACAGTGTGTATCCTCACTCCCCCAGGAGAAAGCATGGGAAGCTCCCTGGCTGAAGCTAGAGAAGATGGGGAACATGCTGACTCTCAACTACTGCCAGTGTCTGCTCCGTATGGAGGAGTATTATGAGGTCATAGAGCACACCAGTGACATCATAAATCAGCACCCAGGTACCTCAGGCACACAAAATATATTATGACATCTGACAGGAAAAGCACTTCAGACAACAACAAATAGTCGATGGTCAAAGTGTAAAGAAATGTAAATTAGGTTTCTAGCCCAAAGCAAACCGATTGTTTTAACATGAACTGTGTATCTGCGTGTTCATCCTAGGTGAAATGAAGGCGTTCTACGTACGAGGGAAGGCCCACATCGAGGTTTGGAACGAAGCTGAGGCGCGGGCTGACTTTGAGAGGGTTCTAGATCTGGACCCTGGCATGAAGAAGGCTGTTAAGAAAGACCTGGGTGTACTCAACATGAGGATGGAGGAGAAGAATGAGGAGGATAAAGTCAAGTATAAGGGCATGTTCTGACATGGCCCAGGAGATATGCAGATATGGAGGGGGAGGGTCAATGTCAAAGTGGACAGCACAGATGGTGCGAGGGGAGAGATGGGCAAAGAAGGGGTGAGAGAGAGAGAGAGAGAGAGAGAGAGACATCAAATCAAATCAAATTTTATTTGTCACATACACAGATAGCAGATGTTATAGCGGGTGTAGCGAAATGCTTGTGCATCTAGCTCCAACAGTGCAGTAATATCTAACAAGTAATATCTAACAATTTCACAACATATGACCAATACAGACAAAACTAGTAAGGAATGGAATTTAAGAATATATACATATATGGACAAGCAATGACAGAGCGGCATGGACTAAGATACAGTAGAATATTATAGAACAGAATGCAGTATATACATATGAGATGAGTAGTGCAAGATATGTAAACATTATTAAAGTGACTAGAGTTCCATTTCTTAAAGTGGCCAGTGATTTCAATAGGCAGCAGCATTCTCTAATGTGCTAATGATGGGTATTTAACAGTCTGATGGCCTTGAGATAGAAGCTGTTTTTCATTCTCTCGGTCCCAGCTTTGATGCACCTTTACTGACCTCGCCTTCTGTATGATAGGGGGGTGAACAGGCAGTGGCTCGGGTGGTTGATGTCCTTGATGATCTTTTTGGCCTTCCTGTGACATCGGGTGCTGTATGTGTCATGGAGGGTTTCTCATGCCAATATAGCCCCTTGAATTGAATTGAATTGAATTGAATTGAAGAGAGAGAGAGAGAGAGAGAGAGAGAGAGAGAGAGAGAGAGAGAGAGAGAGAGAGAGAGAGAGAGAGAGAAGAGAGAGGAGAGAGAGAGAGAGAGAAGAGAGAGAGAGAGAGAGAGAGAGAGAGAGCGAAGAGAGAGAGAGAGAGAGAGAGAGAGAACAAATCCCTACTTATTTATTTATGTTTTTCCCATAACATTGTTTGGTGGTCAATCCATTTGGGTATCCATTATTTCTGACTTGAATGGTTGAAGCCCAACAAGTACTGAATCTAGTCATAAAAGGCTAATAAAACTTGGTGTAGATTATGTACTCATCAGATTTTGAATGAATGTGGCCTTTTATTCTTTCCTTTAATCCATGGCACACTACATGACCAAAAGTATGTGGACAACTGCTCCTCCATCTCATTCCAAAATCATGGGCATTAATATGAAGTTGGTCCCCCCTTTGCTGTTATAACAGCCTCCACTCTTCTGGGAAGGCTTTCCACTAGATTACATTGACATTTTAGTCATTTAGCAGACGCTCTTATCCAGAGCAACTTACATGAGCAATTAGGGTTAAGTGCCTTGCTCAAGGGCACATCGACATATTTTTCACCTAGTCGGCTCGGGGATTAGAACCAGCGACCTTTCGGTTACTGGCACAACGCTCTTAACCACAAAGCTACCGTAGGTGTTTGAACATTGCTGCGGGGACTTGCTTCCATTCAGCCACATGAGCATTAGTGAGGTCGGGCACCGATGTTGGGCGATTAGGCCTGGCTCGCAGTTGGTTTTCCAATTCATCCCAAAGGTGTTCGATGGGGCTGAGGTCAGGGCTCTGTGCAGGCCAGTCAAGTTCTTTAACACTGGTCTTGACAAACCATTTCTGTATGGACCTCGCTTTGTGCATGGGGGCATTGTCCCCAAACTGTTGCCACAAAGTTGGAAGCACAGAATCGTCTAATGTCATTGCATGCTTTAGCGTTAAGATTTCCCTTCACTGGAACTAAGGGGTCTAGCCTGAACCATGAAAAACAGCTCCAGACCATTATTCCTCCTCCACCAAACTTTACAGTTGGCACTATGCATTCGGGCAGGTAGCGTTCTCCTGGCATCTGCCAAACCCAGACTCGTCCGTCGGACTGCAAGATGGTGTAGCGTGATACATCACTCCAGAGAACACGTTTCCACTGCTCCAGAGTCCAATGGTGGCGAGCTTTACACCACTCCAGCCGACGCTTGGCATGGTGATCTTAGGCTTGTGTGCGGCTGCGCGGCCATGGAAACCCATTTCATGAAGCTCCCAACGAACAGTTATTGTGCTGACATTGCTTCCAGAGGCAGTTTGGAACTCGGTAGTGAGTGTTGCAACCGAGGACAGGTGATTTTTACGTGCTATGCGCTTCAGCACTCGGCGGTCCCGTTCTGTGAGCTTGTGTGGCCTACCACTTCGCTGCTGAGCCGTTGTTGCGTCTAGATGTTTCCACTTCACAATAACAGCAGTTACAGTTGAAATTTGATGAACTGACTTGTTGAAAAGGTGGCATCTTATGACGGTGTCACGTTGAAAGTCTGAGCTCTTCGGTAAGGCCATTCTACTGCCAATGTTTGTCTATGGAGATTGCATGGCTCTGTGCTCGATTTTATACACCTGTCAGCAACGGGTGTGGCTGAAATAGCTGAATCCACTAATTTGAAGGGGTGTCCACATACTTTTGTATATCTAGTGTAACTATATTGTTTTAAAGGGATTTTCACACACTGACAAAGTTTCTACCCTCAATAAGCTTAGTCAAGTCTCTGTATCTTGTTGCCACTATTACATTCCACTAGATGGCGATATTTCTATAGCATAGACCTCAGGGCTAAATACTGTCCTATAAAAGTTGATATATCAACAACTACTCCAATAACAAAGAGGAAGTTTTAACTCTTTTAGGGGGGGCTAGGATAATTAATTCACCAGTATGGCACAATGGCAGGACATTCTCCAACAGAGGTCTCCAACAGAGGACATTCTAAAACAGAGGCTTCTAACTTTTGTTCCAGCCCAGCACTAACACACCTGATTACACTCATCATGGTCGAGACTGAAGGCTCTGATTAGTTGATTATTGGAAACAGGAAGTGGATGACTTTGCTGTGAAGGGAATGATTGCAGTGTCTGAGTGATAGGGGTCACATACAGGTTAGTGATGGAGACACTCCCACAATAGCATGACAGACAGCACACCCACCCACCCACAGCTGGCTCCAGTAGGCTACGTAATATAATTGGGTAAATGTCTGAGAGCCACGTCTGTGGTGTGTGTGTGTGTGTGTGTGTACAGTATCAGGTCGATGCCATACAGACAGCTCACTTTCATTCAGGGAATCCCCTATTCGTCATATCCCATTCTCTGTACACTCTTAGAAAAAATGTTTTTTTGTGGTTCTTTATAGAACCTTTAGATTCTTTTGAGGAGATTAAAGAACCCTTTACTAGTAAAGGTTATATACAGTGCATTCGGTAAGTATTCAGACCCCTTGACTTTTTCCAATGGATAAAATTGAGATTTTTTTGTCACTGGCCTATACACAATACCCCATAATGTTAAAGTGGAATTATGTTTTTCTATTATTCTTTTTTTTTTTTACAAATTCACCCCCCCAAAAAAGCTGAAATGTCTTGAGTCAGTTCAGGAGTAAAAATAAAAACACAGATTCAACCACAAAGACCAGGGAGGTTTTTCAATGCCTTGCAAAGAAGGGCACCTATTGGTAGATGGGTAAAAAAAAGAAAAATAAGTTAACATTGAGTATTCATTAATGATGCAGCTGCATGATTTCGACCTGGTAAAAAAAATGGCTATATGACGTCCGATACGTTAGGTCTCTATGGCAGAGGGGAGATCTAATTCATATTTTGCAACATTGTTGCGAAGGTCTGAGTGGCAAATAGAAAGGTTCATACAAACCTGTGCTGTTGCAAACTAAATGCTAGAGGAAATAATGTGTTTAATAAAAGCATAGTCCCAATTGGTATTCGCTGCCCTGCCTGCCTCTGTGGAAAATAACCTGTGGTTACCTAGGTTACCCCTTTGGCTCACAGCAAAAACACATTTTTCAAACGCAATTTTCTTGTTGTCTGCTTGTTTTAGTAAATTACAAAACTACATTTAAGAAAAGTACAACATGTCTAAAGATTACATTTCAATATTGCCTGCTCCTGAGCATTCTCACTACTTAGAAAAACATACTATTGTAGGGCTTCCCTCATGCCCCTTTTCATGACGACGCTTGCAGCCACGTGAGTGAGTGAGTGCTACCGACCGGCTACCGACCGGCTACCGATCAGAACATTAAGCTAGCCAAGACCAACAACACAAACAAATGGACTATACAGCTACAAGTAGTGAGTGGAGTTACAAACAGACTATACTAAACAAGTGAAATGTCTTACCAGTGATTAAGTGTTTTCCACACACATACAGTGGGGGAAAAAAGTATTTAGTCAGCCACCAATTGTGCAAGTTCTCCCACTTAAAAAGATGAGAGAGGCCTGTAATTTTCATCATAGGAACACGTCAACTATGACAGACAAAATGAGAATTTTTTTCTCCAGAAAATCACATTGTAGGATTTTTAATGAATTTATTTGCAAATTATTGTGGAAAATAAGTATTTGGTCAATAACAAAAGTTTCTCAATACTTTGTTATATACCCTTTGTTGGCAATGACACAGGTCAAACGTTTTCTGTAAGTCTTCACAAGGTTTTCACACACTGTTGCTGGTATTTTGGCCCATTCCTCCATGCAGATCTCCTCTAGAGCAGTGATGTTTTGGGGCTGTCGCTGGGCAACACGGACTTTCAACTCCCTCCAAAGAGTTTCTATGGGGTTGAGATCTGGAGACTGGCTAGGCCACTCCAGGACCTTGAAATGCTTCTTACGAAGCCACTCCTTCGTTGCCCGGGCGGTGTGTTTGGGATCATTGTCATGCTGAAAGACCCAGCCACGTTTCATCTTCAATGCCCTTGCTGATGGAAGGAGGTTTTCACTCAAAATCTCACGATACATGGCCCCATTCATTCTTTCCTTTACACGGATCAGTCGTCCTGGTCCCTTTGCAGAAAAACAGCCCCAAAGCATGATGTTTCCACCCCCATGCTTCACAGTAGGTATGGTGTTCTTTGGATGCAACTCAGCATTCTTTGTCCTCCAAACACGACGAGTTGAGTTTTTACCAAAAAGTTATATTTTGGTTTCATCTGACCATATGACATTCTTCCAATCCTCTTCTGGATCATCCAAATGCACTCTAGCAAACTTCAGACGGGCCTGGACATGTACTGGCTTAAGCAGGGGGACACGTCTGGCACTACAGGATTTGAGTCCCTGGCGGCGT